TATGAAGTTCATAGCAACATAAACACAATAACATGAACCTATCACATGTAGTTTCAAACGCAAATATAAAACCCAAATATTGAACATGATATGAACATGAAATTTTGGTTTCATTTGGCTCCTTTATGGAAGATAGATACATTCAAAAAAAAAAAAAAAAGAAGATCGAAACCCAAAACCTAGGTTTGCGGAAACCAAATGTGGGTTCTCCGAGGAACCCAAGATGATGAAGAGTTGAAGAGGATGGCAAAAAGGATGTCGAGGATGAGGATGAGGAGAAAGAAGAAGATGAAGAAATTAAAGTTAATTTCATTTAAATTCATTTAATTCATGAATTAAGAAGTAAAATTTTTAATTTATATATGTGGCACAAAATATTCAGATGAAATGCTTATATGGATTTATAATTTTAATTATCCACTTAATTTTCACATCATTTATAATATCATTTATATAAAAAAAATAATCGAGTGATTCTGTTAATTAACGTGACATATTAGTAAAAATTTAACGAAAAGATAAAAAAAGGATTGGATTTTAAACTTGAAGGACTAAAAAAGGAATTTTCAGTCTAGGACCAAAAAGAGACTTTTTCAATAATAGAGGGACCAAAAAGGTATTTAACCTTAAGTTTGTCAACATGTCCAATGTGACGTCGGTTAAGAGTTCAGACCGAGTTGAACTCACAAGAACAAGATACAACCTTGGTGTCCTAACTCTTCCAAACCTAGATCCTGTCTTCCAAAACTCCAAAATAAATTAAAAACACAGAAACTTCTACTTCAATTAATTAAACATCTTTATTTCTTCTGTTGAATTCTTCAGTTTTTTCTCTTTTTTTTGTTTGATCAGAGAATTTTATGGGTAATTTTGATTTTTCTCTTTACACGTGTTCTGTCTGGATCTAGATACATAAATTGTTGAAGAACCAGACACGATCTAATTTTTTTTTTTTTTTTCTGTGTGTGTTTTGCAGAGATGGGGATTTGGTGTTGTAGACATGTAATGATTGTATGGATTGTTGGGTTTCTATTTATGCAGATGCGGGCAATACAGGGGCTGAGGTTCGTCATAGATAGAGAAGAGTGCTTCTCCCACAATGTTCAATACGAAGGAGACACTCTTCATGTCTCTTTTGTTGTGATTAAGGCCGATTCCCCTTGGCATTTCAGCGAAGACGGTGTCGATCTAGTGGTAACTTTACCTTTTTTTTATCTTCCCAAAACAAAAAAATTTCCGTTGACTTCATGAAAGGATATAGGATATTTAATTGTTTATTATTGGTTTACACAGAAGACTGTTCTAGTTAGATTATTTGACTTGAGAAGATGTGCAAATTGGGGATTGAGTGAAGTTATCATGTGGGTTTTTGTTGATGATTCTTAAAGTTTGGTTTTTTATTTGAATTTTGAAGAAAAAGAGGAGAAATAGATTGTGAGTTATTATGAAGTGTTGATAATTTTGGATGATGTGAGTATTTAGACATTTTGACCGACTAATCTCACGGGTGCCTGCAAATCCCACAGGTACTGTGAAAATCTCCACCCTAGGGTGGTTGGCATGGCCCATTGGATAATTTTGAGTTTTGAGACATTTATTTTGATTCTGTTGTTTAATTCCTTTCATATTTCTCTGAAATTGGTTATTGATCTTCACTACTGATGTTGAGGTTATCAGATAAAGGGACCTTCTGGAGAACAGATTCAAGATTTTCGTGACAAGACAAGTGATAAGTTTGAGTTTGTGGTCCCGAAGAGAGGGGTTTACCGTTTCTGCTTCACCAATAAGTCCCCATATCATGAAACTGTTGATTTTGATGTACAAGTTGGTCACTTCTCATACTACGACCAGCATGCAAAAGATGGTGAGATTCTATGACCTATGTTTACCACTTCCCTGTTTTCCCCCACATTCTTTTGTTTCACATAATAACCCTTAAAAGAGGTAAGGAAGATTACTTATTGCTGTGTAATATCTGCAGAGCATTTTGCCCCCTTGCTGGAGCAGATATCAAAGTTGGAGGAAGCTCTGTACAATATCCAATTTGAGCAGCATTGGTTAGAGGCTCAGACCGATCGTCAGGCAATAGGTAACTCTTAATGTTTATGTTTCTCCCCTATTTTACATCGTGAATGCTCTACTATGTTCTGGTACATGAGGAAGTTAGTATGCTTAGCCATTGCAGATGTGCATTGACCCCAAAATCAAGGTTTTGAAGTTAAGGGGTACAGATTGGATTAACCTCTTCTTGGTTCCTTATTTTGATTTTATTGGTCTTTGCCTTATTTTGATAAATGTGACTATGGGAGAAACTTTCATAAATTAACCATCCTATGGTCTGTTCTGCTGATATAGGAACTAACTTGTAAGAATTGGCTCTGATTTTTCTTTTTCTATCAAAATGTTGCCCTGTTGGGAAGGGAGCTTAGTTCTGTTCTCATAAATCTGTAGGGTGTTTTTGGCTGATATAACCAATGATGTCTTGCAGAAATTCTCTTAAATGAAGGGGAGAAATGTGACTGGGAAAAACATCCTTTTATTGTTTTAGCCTTTGTTGCTTTGCTTCTACACCAGACATGGAAAACCCTGTTTTCTAATTTCAGCACCAAGAAATTTTCGACAAAATTTTGTAGAAAACTAAATCAGAAAATCAAGAACACTGTTAGCACTAACTAAACATGCTCTTAGATCTTTTGGATCTGAGCACAACCTGGAATAGGATGCTCCATCTGCAATGTACCTTTTTGTTTTAACTGCTAAGATTGAAACTGCTAGGAAAAATAATTCAGGTTCTTCATCAACTACATCACATGGTGGGATTTTTAAACCTCTCCTGGATTTGTTGTAACGTCTAAAATACACGTGCTTGTTTTCTTTTTTCCTTTTGTCAGCAGTTTTTAAAGAATAATAATCCAATTGGGATATGAATTGACTGCAGTGAATGATAACATGGGTCGGAGAGCAATGCACAAGGCAATGTTTGAATCAGCTGCACTAATTGGAGCTAGCGTCCTTCAAGTTTACCTCCTTAAACGCTTGTTTGAACGGAAGCTCGGGACATCCAGAGTCTAAGTAGGCTTGTAGCTGCCTGCAATGGATATTCGTCAATTCTGGTACTTACACGCTCCAAGTTCAGCTCCACCTGGCTATGCCTATTTAAAGGTTTTTTTGTACCTAATTTACTATTAAAGCATTCCTCCTTCCACAATTCTTGTGTAACACTTATTTACCAGTAGTTAAAAGATGTTTTGAAACCTAGGGAGTTTCTTTGATCTCCTGGACAATGTTCCATATTTTTACTCTCTAAAGTTATGTATGAATTTTTTGGTTCAGTTTTGCTCTTTTGCTTCTTTTACGTGAAATACAGCCCCTGCTGCTTGCAAGTAACAAAATTGAACATACTTTGGGTTTAGAATGTCTTTGGAATCAAAATGGTAAAGAAATTCAATTCTTCATACAACATTTTGCATTACCTGGAGAATGTAGGGTAGGGTGGCACCCAATCTGGCTATAAGGCAATAGGAAAATACGAACTTCAGTAATGGTGGATGGTAAAAATTCTACAATGCATTGGTTGTAAAATGTTGACAAGTAAATAAAAGCGAATCGCTCTCACCGACCCAGCTTAATATGAAAAAAAGGTGTTGTGTAGATGAATTGCATAACATTAATAGTTGGGCAAGGGTGGGCTTTTAATGTTAGAAATCCGCTCTTATCTTCTTCTTCTTCTTCCTTCTTTTTTCCTTTTTATTTATTTTTTATTTTTTATTTTTTTGACATGGGACGCATTTCACCAAGAGAGGGAGAAATGCACCTGTTCAATAATTACTGCCAACTAATGCCATTGGACTTCTAGAGTTAAGTGACGAATTCCTCTCTTATCTAATGGTTTTAATTTTATAATATGATATAATTTAAATTATAAAATAAAAAATCCTAACATGCATTATCATTTTTTTTTAATAACATGTCTAATTGTCATTGGTTGGTTGTATTGTTGACGTGGTACAACAGTAGTGTGGTAGACTTTTTCCAGTGAATGATAGAACCTCGATAATTGCTGATACCAGAAATAGAGTTTTTTTTTTTTTTTTTTTTTTTTTTTTT